GTTCGGTTGTTGTTTTGCGTGGCTGGTGTTGGTCAGGAGAGGGCCACAGGGAACCGTTCTGCCCTGCCACGCAGCCGAGCGCTGCCGCGCCAGTCGCTTCCACCGCTGGGAGCAGGCTGCGGAGGCAGGAAACGGGGGTTAGTGCCAAGGATGTGGTTGGAAGTCCCAGAGCACAGAGGAACCCCAGCTGATGCTTGAAAGGTCTGTGGAGTTGGAGCTTGGTGACAGCACCTGGGCTTTCAGTCGTTGTTTGCACAGGGTTTTGCTTCCATGAAGTTGTACAAATGAGCAGAGGGGAGCATTCAATGTTGCTGGTTTCAACGGAGGGGGCTCCCTTGTGCTGTGCTGGTGCTGGGGCCCATCAGCTGCCATGAGGTAGCTCCTGCTGTGCAGCACTAGCAGGAGAGACCCCATGAAACAGTTGTGGGTGGTGACCTGAAGGAGTCCACTTATACCCCAGAATGACTGCCTGCCTTTTGCCAGTGATCACTCATTGGCCTTGCTGGGTGAGGGGTTCCAGTATTGGGGAATTTTGTAAAGTTCTGTGGGAGAACACTGAGAAACCCACCATCACTCATGCTTCTCCTTTGTTGTTCAGAAATGGCACCTCGTAAGGGCAAGGAGAAGAAGGAAGAGCAGGTCATCAGCTTGGGACCACAGGTTGCCGAAGGAGAAAACGTGTTTGGTGTCTGCCATATCTTTGCTTCCTTCAACGACACTTTTGTCCATGTGACTGATCTCTCTGGCAAGTGAGTATTGAATGCTGGTCACCTCTATGTAGTGCTTGGCTCTTTTGGGTTGGAAAAGAGAAATTGGAGGTTCCACCAACATTCTTGATCTTCTGAGCTGTAAGATAAGGTGGGGGGTGTGTGTGAGCAGAGCCCAGGAGGCTTGGTGTGCTCTGTGATGAACGTGGGGGTCAGTGTCCTGGATGGCAGCTTGCTCATCCCATAACCTTCAGCAGCCCAGGTTCTGTCTGCCCGCAGGAGCTGGGCTGTGGGGAGGAAAGAGGAGGGACTGCACTGCACCCCTTCTGTTGTAGGGAGACCATCTGCCGTGTGACGGGCGGCATGAAGGTGAAGGCGGACAGGGACGAGTCGTCGCCCTACGCGGCCATGCTGGCGGCCCAGGACGTGGCCCAGAGGTGCAAGGAGCTGGGCATCACCGCCCTGCACATCAAGCTGCGTGCCACCGGCGGGAACCGGTACGTGGGAGGGGAGGGCCTGCGTCCCCTGGGCGAGTGTCCCCTCAGGGAGCCACGCCAGGCTGCCCCACAGCCCTGCTTGGCGCTGCCTCGCAGGAGGGGCTGGAGGCACCCTGGCTTCCAGCTTGGCCTGAAGGGTGTCTGTCTCTGTGTGGTGACTGGTGTCGTCTCGCTGGGCGTCTGGAGCTTGTTGGAAGAGCCGGGGTGTGCTCTCATTCATCGGGTGGTGGATGGGGAGGTGCTGTCAGCCTTGGAGAGTGGTCACTGTGCAGTGACTGCAGTGCCTCTCTGGTGGCTCTAGATTTGGGATGGGGAAACTGATTTTAACGTTGCCAATTGTTCATGAACCGTGTTCAGCTTGGGAGTGGTTGAAGGGACTGTTGGTTCTGACTCTCCTCCAGGACCAAGACCCCTGGCCCTGGTGCCCAGTCGGCCCTGAGAGCTCTGGCACGGTCCGGAATGAAGATCGGCCGCATTGGTGAGTGCTGGAGGAAGCACTGCCCACGCCTCTGTGCCGTGGGCTGTCGGTGCAGGGCCTTGCTGCTTTACAGAAAAACACCCACCAAAACCAGTTTTGGGGCATTATTTAGCAAAAGGACCTCTGTAGGATTATGTGCTGCTTGGTGTGACGATTCGGGTCCCGCCTTTGAGCTGTTCTCCTTGGCCTCCATCAGGTGGCACTGGAGGGGGGATTTCATTTGAACAGGCTCTTAAGTTGGTGGTTGGGCAGGAGGTGGTGTGAGCAGGCTGGAGACACTGCCTGTGTGTCTGCAGGAGCTGGTGCTCTTCTGATGTCTGCAGAGCTGGCTGGTCCCCTGGAAGCACCGTGCTGGTCCCAGTGCGAGGCTGTGAGTGGGCACCAGTGGAGTCCCTCGTGCTGTTTGAGGGACAGTCCCAGCCTCTGGAGGAGTCCACAGCAGGCGGTGGCTGCTCTGACTGTTCATCAAGCACCTCCCCTTTCTCTGGGAACGTGGGGGCTGCCTGGGCTCGGTGGGGTTTTGCTGCCTGACCTTCAGCACCCCTTGTGCACAGGGTTGGGGGAGCTCACACAGACCTTCGCTCCTGGAGTGTCTGTTCTGCAGCCCTGGGATGTCAGGGGGACTGCGGGGGTTGGTGGCTGTGCCCAGCTGGTCTGTTGAGGTACCTCTGGAAGGTAACGGTGTGTTCTGTGTGTTTCTTTCTCACCACAGAGGATGTCACCCCCATCCCCTCGGACAGCACTCGCAGGAAGGGTGGTCGCCGTGGGCGTCGTCTGTAGACAGCGCTGCACCTTGGGTTATTAAAGCTCTCTCTAAACCTCTTCTCAGCTCTCTTCTCTTACCGAGGCGTGCTCTGGAGCGGTGGCTGCCCTGGGCAGCCTGGGCCAGGGCGTAACAGCCCTTCGGTGAAGGAATTTCTCAGTATACCTGCAGCAGGCAGAGCCTTCTGTGGACCACTGGGGCAGCATCTCATTTTCAGAGGCCCAGAAAGTCAGCTGCCCCAGGCTGCATCTGTCCATCTAAATCTCCCTCTTAGTTCAAAACCATCACCCCTTGTCTTGTTGAAACAGACCCTGCTAAAAACTCTGTCCCCATCTTTCTGACAGACCCCTTGAAGTCCTCGAAGGCCACCAGAAGGTCTCCCCAGAGCCTTCTCCACAGGCTGCCCCAGCCCAGCTCTCTCCTGCTGGGCTCCCAGCAGAGGGGTTCCCCCCTCGGGGCATTGCTGGGGCGCCTCTGGCCCCGCTCCAGCAGGTCCCTGGCTCTGCTGTGCTGAGGACTCCAGAGCTGCCCCAGCACTGCAGGGGGGTCTCCCAGAGCTGGCAGAG